CTGTTTTCTGGCCTGCTTCAGCGTATCAAAAAACATTGCATCGTATGATAATATTCTAATGAAATGGGTGCCAGAAATACAGCACTTCTGTCCTCACGTGCCGATAGTACTAGTGGGTAAGCAATAAAAAACGTTTCAAACTCCTCAAAGTACTTGCTTACCAATATTGTCCTCGATTAGCTACCAAAATCGATTTGCGCGACGACCCAAGCGAAAGCTGCTATAGTACTGCGGATGGACGCCGACTCAAAAAGAAAATTAAAGCACAAAGCTACAAAGAATGCTCAGCTATTCGAAACGAAGGCCTAGAACAAGTAATTGAAGAAGCTGTTCGAGTGGCTCAGCGACATCGAACAGTGAAACGAAATACAACCTGCACGATATTGTAAGTTATTACCTATATAGAAGCTATTGTCAATATTTTTTTACTTATTCTGTTAATCTAGAAGTGTTTATCAAGTCAGTATTCGTCTAATAAAGGAACTACTTTTGATTTTTTGAAGCGAAAGAAATATCTTAGTAATGTTAAGTAGGTATTTATGAACTTTTAATACATATTTCATGGACTTTAACCGATTGAACCTTCTCTAATTTGAACCCACCTGTGCACCCCTTCACCTTAGAAGGACATAATTGGGCAGTAATAATTTATTGAAACAATTCCTCCAAACATTTGTCTCTGATAATTTGCATGTTGTCCTCGATTGGCGCAGTCGGATGGTGAATCGGAGATCGGTTGTCCAGACAAAGTGACTCAACTTCGTTTAGAATTGGCGATATCACACCCGAGTAAATATCTCGTTGATTCTTCAAACAATCTACTACAAGGTCCCGAATAAAAAATCAACCCTACACCTCAAACCAATACTTGCCGTTATTCAAGGTGTTTTCTGGCGCATCACGTAAATCGCCCCGAATCAAATTAATGTTCCCAGTCTCGTAATCCACCGACATAATACAGTTGGGGATTTTGCTGCTTTCTGCAGGCGCAATTAATGGGGCAAAATTGGGTCCACTTGAAGCCTCATTATCTGCAATTCGGATCACCGAGCCTGGTGGATTCATGGGACACTTATGGGACCTCTGGCTCACTTTGTAGCGAAAACTCTTTTGGCATGCTGTGCATTTATAGGGCATAACGCCGGTGTGAATGCGCGTATGGACCAAGTAGGAAACTCGTTGACGAAACCGTTTGCCTGCAGCAGAAAATATTAGCAATTTTTCCCTAGAACCTATACATAGCGCACATAGCAAAATGATATTCCCAGAATATACCTGGACCATTCATGTGATGTACATGCATATTCCTGGGACATTATGAACATTCCATGCATGTCCCAGGAATCTGTCAGAGTTAATACACTGAATGTTCATGGTATGTTCTGGGAATGTACATGGTATGTTCAATGAATGCATATGGTATGTTCAGGGAATATACATACATATATGTAACGAAAGAAAAACGATCCTTTATTTCATCTTATTAGTTTATTCACATATTTAAGTATT